CTGACATTTTTGCCAAAACTGTTTGTTTCGTATTTTAATCACAGATTTGTGACAATAAATGCGTTTATCGTTGAATACAAACACCAAATCGTAATCGCATTCGTTGTCGAAAGCGGACGACAATTGTCTCAGAAATGCACTCAAAGACACGCTTTGGGAACTGTCGCCACTCTTCAGGCACTCATTGTCCGCAATAGACGGCTCTATCACACCATGACTACCGGTGCTGAGAGTCAGCCCGCGTTGGCTCTGTTCGTTGGCCACCGAAACGTTGGATCCGTTGTTATTCTTCGCCAACACTTCTACTTCTCTGTCGAAGACAATCGTCTCGAAAGTCTTATTAACGCGACAATAGTTGGCGTAAATGTCGTAAACAGTATAACTGGTCATCGACTCGGGTATGGGTCGGGGGGCGAAGAAGCCAACCATTCCCCACACGTAATACTGGCCATCGATGGACAGACCAATAGAGAGCGTGTGATCGTAATGAGTGATCAGGTCTTTGAAGCGCACGTTGGGTGCGATCGGCGCCGGCGACGACTGATGGCGTTGAGTGCCGTTCCCTATCTGTCCCCAGTTGTTGCCGCCGATGGCGTACGCCTGACCGCTGCCGGACAGCAGTAGCGTGTGATTGGGTCCGCACACGGCCTTCACTATAGACACGTCCGACGGCAGGCCTGAGAGCTCTCGCGGCGAATGACAGACAGGAATATTGCCGTTTCGGGTGTCGTCCGATTGGGGGCCGCACTGACCGCAGTCGTTGATACCCCACACATACGCCCGTCCGCTGCGGCCGAGCGCTAGCGAGTGGTGTTTGCCGGCCGACAGACTCGCCATCACATCCCTGTAGAAGAGGTCGGCGATGGGTGTGGGCGTCGGACAGTAGCCGTACCGCCTGTCGGCCAACTGTCCGAACTGATTGCGTCCGAAGGCGAACACCTGGCCATCGGCGGTGAGCGCCAGTGTATGCGATTTGCCGCACACCACAGCCGCCACCGACAGGTGCCTAAACGTCCGTATGAGTAGCGGTGTGTGCGAGTCATGTGTGTCACCGGTGCCCAACTGGCCGTACTTGTTCTCACCCCACGACCAACACTGGCCGCCGGCCGTCACACCGATCCTGAAGGCGAATCCGCAACAGATGTCCACAAGTCGTTGACCAGAGAGTGTGGGGTTGAGTGTCGGCACCGGAATGTGTTGAGCACTCGTACCCAAACCCAAACAGCCGTAACGATTGGCCCCAAAGCCGTAGACCCGGTCCTCACGGGTGGCGAAGATCACTTCGGATCCGTTGAAACCGCAGACACAGAGTAGCCGTACGGATGACGTGAGCCTCTCGTCGCCCGTCATTGGTCTCAATGCGTGGAAGTCTTTGATCGATATAAGCGTTTCCATTGTGTCTGTGGTGGAGGTCTTCAGCGGTGGATCAGCTCTTCGTGTGTTTTGAATGAATGAATTGTTTGTTTCATTTGTCGTTTGTTTTGATCACAAGTCGTGTAAAACACGTGACTTTTGCCTAACTTTTTGTCATAATGTGTATAAATAACGTGTTTTAATGTTAGAAAGTTTAGTTCAAAGTTGTTGTAAATGTCAGTAATTTGTATTTGCATTTAGTTGTGTAAAATGTTCTAGTTGTTTGTAAAAGTAATAAAACTGGAGGTAATTTATTAAATGCTTTGTAATGTGTAAATAAAGCCATGAAAAACTATGATAACTTTTCAATTCATTGTATATATAGTAATAATTATATACTGTTAACAAAGAAAGTACTCAATATTAATATTAATAAATACACAATTAATAAATACATTTTATAAATAAATTTACAATAGCTATAAATTGCATGCATATCAGTTCATTATATAGTAATCTATGTGCCTAGGGCCATTTATAATCGAGAAGTTGCTTGACACTTTGCAAAACTTGGTACTTTTGCCACACTATAATCAATCAAACTTTTGAAACATTCTTTAAATTAATAACAATTTTTATTTTCAAACTAAAACTAGTTTATTATTCATTATAATTAAGTATTTGACATAATATTCAGAGATTTTAATACAAGTTTTGTTTGCAAAACATATAAAAAGCGAATTAACAATAAATTCATTAGAAATAATGTAAAAAATATTTTTTTTAGTTTTTTAAATACTTTTTTGTCGAAATTTTATAGTATTGTTGAACACAAAGAAACAGAAAATCAGTAGAAATTCAATCGTAAGCCTCCGTTAGTATTGGTATTTATCCGTAAAAACCTCTGCCATAACCGCCGTATCCGCGGCCATAACCTCCGCCATAGCCTCGACCATAACCCCCACCATAGCCTCGACCGTAACCACCATAGCCTCGGCCATAGCCACCATAGCCCCGGCCGTATCCACCGCGACCTAATCACGTGATACATAAACAACATTCATAATTTTATATTCAAATACTAAATCAAAAACTAAATATTCAACTAAAAAAAGTTTTGATTAAGAAAGTAAAAATGTAGGTTAATCAATATACAAACAGTATATTTAGCACGAGTTAAATTAAAAGTAAAACACAATATACCGTAAAACTGTGCGGAGGCGAGGGGTAGGGCGACGAGAGCCAGAACCATGAATATGGCCAACACTGCGATCATTTGGGACTTCATTGTGGCGTTTAGTGAACAGGTATTGGATTTATTCAATACAATAAGTGTTTGGCAAATATGATATGACTTGTGAGATGTGCGGACTCGACACTGCTTTTATATATAGCGCACTCCGTATCCGACAGTGAAAAAAATGGGATGACATTGACGGGATGTGTGCACACAAATGCATATAGTTATACAGGAGTAGCTTAATAATGATGATGTTGATCACCATTATCAACATGTATAATGTGACTGACATGCCATAGCACCGGTATGTCTGCTTTTTCCCGATAGATCTTTCTCTATGCCATCCCCTCATTGCCCTCTCCCCCTCTTTACTCTCTCTCTCTCTCTCTCTCTCTCTGTTAATATCATTTGGTTTGTATAG